GCATCTAATGATTCTCGATTCTTTAAAACATCATGTAAACTTATCTGTATGCCGATCGCAAGATAACAGCCGAAAATAAATTCGAGGTTATGAGAAATCTAAGCTATGAGATAAGTGGGAATTGAATTTCAAACATACACAGCAACTAACCAAGTCCCAAAGAAATATGAAGAGAATTCTATGATGAATGGAAGTAGACAGTATATTCCTAAACACACTTTGATACATAACGACAGACTAAAAATAAATATTTATTAGAAATTCCCAGGTAGTTTCAGTTCTGAATATAGAAGAGTTATTGCAAACCCACATGAATGTCATCATCTATCTACATATGCGAATGTACATGTTATGCAGTAATAAAGAGCATGCCTTGTATCGACCTTTCACAAACATGTTCATAACTTAATGAGACAAAAACAAATTGGACATTTTGTCCCTGTGTACAGTACCCATAGAAAGAGTTGTAGAAATGTATAATCAATTGTACTTTGGTTTAAATGAGGTGTATATCCAGGGAAGGATTTAGTTTAAAAGTTAATTTATGTTCTGAAAAGTGACAGACGACGTTCGTCAAACGTGCAAACCTATTCAGAATACATAGCTTCTCGTAGGTGATTTCAGACCTGCAGTTTATGATTAGTCCGGCTATTCAGGCCTAACAAATATCCTTCCTAATAAACGTTTCAGGTTCGCACATTTCCAAAATGATTTATGCTGTTTTTGGAATCTGAAACTTACCTATGGAAACTAAGGATCTACTTTAAATTTTCCATGTTTATCTGCTTGTAATAGCGTATTTTTTGAAGGTCGAGTATGGGTTACTTTTGAATTTTTCCTTATGCGATGCAATGGCATTTAAGAAGACCTTGAGTTCACTAATTTTTTTGTTGGCTATCTATTTCGAAGCTTGTTCATCACTTGGGAATAACAGCATCTTAATAAATAATGTTTGCATTGAGTATCGTAAAAACGTGTCGATATATGTTAAGAATATAATATTCAATATGTCAACCAAAACAGCGCCCGTTTCTTTTTGTGGTTGGTGTAGTGAAACTGTGTATAAACTAAAGAAAGTCATAGAAGGGCAAGATGCTTATAGTGCAAATGGTGAGGCATGTGTTGATCTCCTGGCAAATACAGAAAGGGTGAGTAATTTCGAGCTTTGCACTTCGTATCAGGGTAAACTTATTAATTTTCGGTTGTTCATTTGTCTTTTAGAAACAGAAGATAGGTCTTTGAAATGAACTTGAATATTCTCAGCCTTTGAAGCGAGTGATAATATTCTAAAATGCTGATCTCAGAAATCACAATAAAACCATCAATGTGAAAAGCTTATATCACAGTTTCGTCTGTAATTGCTTTGTCTGCATCTTTTTAAATAAGACTATATTTGTAGGCTGTTTAGGAAAATTAAAGGGTCTAGAATTTTATTAGGCATCAGAACTAAGTTATAGACGAACCAATGAAATTAAAGATAACAAGTCTTGAATTTGGACGCAAAATACATTCACCCATATATTAAAATGGTATTTAGCGATTATAGGTTATGTCAGTTCGTGACGAGAATTCTTACTGTAGTTTATAGTTGTAAATGCCATCTCTTGACCCTGACAAAGTGGATCGTCTGTAGGTCACCATGAGTTGCTCAAGGTTGTCCATGAATTATAATCCCTCCACTCATGCTTATGATCCTAATAGGATGGGACAAAAGTAATGTGTTTTACATGACCTATCAGCACTTCTAGTGATGTTTATTTCCGTCAATGAAAAGAAAATTCTAAGAATACTGCTTTTAGGAAACGACCTCTATCCTTTTCTTCATAGCCTTCTAGTGATGAAGACTAGGTATAGGAACCTCTGAGTTTTCGTAGACATGCGTATTCCGACGGAACAGTTATTAATGACTGTTCCCCAACAATAGTCCTTCCAGCCCGACTGATAAATAACAAACGAATTTTTTGTTTTTCAGGCTTCACACAAAAAATATACTGTTAAGGTGTATGTATAACTAGCTTATTAACTACTGCATGTTCAAATTCAACAACACGAGTGTACTTGCAGTACATTATTACTTATTAAGAACGTCTAAAAAAGATCTTCGGCATTGTTATTGGCTAACGGTATACAATGCAATCTATTTATCAACACACAAGGTATGACAATTCACAATATAAAGAGGGAGGATTTCAATCTCTAGACGAATTGGTATCTTTTTAGGGGTAATAAATCAACGTTCAACAATTACCTACTACCTTAAAGGTTGAATGTAATTGAAGTAGGGCGATAGCAAACATTTTCCTCAAATACAGCTTAAAACCACAAAGTTAACGACGGTTGCGCGATAATTATACAGATATTAAAGCATTCATGTGAATAACGTTATTCCTTTTGCAAATGTCAGGAATTCATGTTGCATGTGCGTATAATTTTGTTTGCAGATTTCTTACTTTTATGGTATCACTATTCGGTTTTAGGGTACAATAGATTCTATCGACTTCATTTTCGACAAATGGAATCGTTCCTTCTGCTCCCATTGTCTTGAAGAAGTTTATTCCGATCAAAACATTAGTATATCAGCGGATTCTTTCAATAACATAGAACGGCCTAGACGCCTTCTACATACGGATTCTCTATACAACTTGCAAGTCTACAGTAAAAACGTGCGTACATTCTTCGAAAAGCTTGATGATGCTTTAAGTTGTTTCATGCAGTTCATCAATAATCCCAACATATCTATTCTCAATGTATTAAATTTCCCCTCGTCTAGCACCTTAAATATCAGTTCGACGGTTTGTCGAAATTGTTCAGCAGCGTATTATAGTCTCTTAGATTACTACACTAATAACCTCCTAAGATATAACTCTCTAGAAGGAGGAAATCAAAATTTCCTCGTAAAAGAACGCTCTGGTCATCGTTTTGCCGTATGTTTGGACGTACAAAATGCCATAAATCGCACACAATGGGCTTGGTACAACTTATTTCGGTGCCGAACGGAGGAAGTTAGTCATATTGGCTTCTTCTTACCATTGATAGTTTGTGTCACATTCCTCGTAGTTTTCCATTGTCTTGCCCAATCAGTATGTCGTTATCCCGCCCATCTGCTGGTATACAGGCCAAAACGTGTTGAACCTACTGTTAGATGTCAACGAATTCTCAGCACAGCCTCGACTTCGCGTGGGCAAATGTCATTAGTCCGGTCTTATGGGAGCATTGGATCTGTGGAAGATAACACAATAGATTCTAACCTAATCACAAAGACATACTCACAATCTGATTCACTATTTGACAATCGCACGGTGGTAATCCGAACATAATCCAGAGACTAACAACATATTGCTTATTAGATAAAAACAAGCTAAGTGTCTTTCACAATGATTTCATATTTGTCTATATTTTTGCACAATCAAGAAAATGTCCAACCGCATAATCCACTTACTTTTATTGTTTGTCATCCTAATTATTTTCTTGCATGATAACTGAAGATTTGTTTCTACGTGATTTATCACATCGTCTCAATAAAATGGTGTATGAGAAAAACGACTTTATCTCGTATTAAATGGGGGATTCAATATGTTCTATGTACCAAATCACATCCATAGTGAGATTACATACAGGAAGCTGTGAACGAGCGGATTTTCACCTACTCCTGTACATTATGTTGCTAGCTTATTTTTCATCGGATAGCAAATTAGTTAGGGCTATATAAGAAAACTAAAAATTTCCTGATTTCACAATGATAAATGTATTTTTACTCTTTAAGCACTTTGAAAATGTCAAAAATAGGCGTCGTACTCCCCCAAACAAATTTATTATGTCGTAACGGTAAAAGAGCCTTCTTAAATGTCGGTTCTAGCTCAATGTCCTTTTCCCAATCATAGTAAATTTCACTCAGCCATAAATCAGAGACACAAGGCAAAACCTGTCTACTCAAAATATTACTTATTACAAGCGTTAATGTAGGTCGTAATAATGAATAATCCGAGAAAGAAGATGGATGTCGGGTTAGATAATGATTATATAGATACCTACACTTGGGATACATAAGCATATAGCTGACAAGGATCTGAAAAAAAGAGGTGCATGTGTCGAAGGTCATAGCTGATTACAAAGAGAACAGGGCTATTGGGAACGTAAAAGTGACTCACTAGCCACAAGATGATTGAACTATGAAAGTTTGTCCAAAAGTTAGAAGAAATTTAGACGTTACGGTAGAACAACCATAAGTTCTTATGACAAGAAGATTCACTAATCTCTTGTTTTGTCTCTTCACTTAAATTGCCTTACTACACCAAGTACAACGTGCTGTGAAAAATCTAGAGAAACAGGTCATTATGATATCATACGTTTTGGCTGATTCCTTGTAAAAGGCAATACTTCATTGGTGAAGATATTATTTTTATAAAGAAATGTTCTTACATCTGTCTAAAATTTGTGGTGAGAAATCAGACCTAACTTTAACAGTTGGAAACACTACACAAGCCCCCATTGTCCAAAATCAGTATTCTGAATTTGGTCATATTATTTGGCTTGCTGGTTTCATTTTCTACGTTGAACAATTTTCCATCACCATGTAGTTTATAATTGTCCACACAATTAGTGTGTTAATTGCTGCTGAACTCAGACAGACCTTGCGACTACACGTTACTTGTACAGGTGATCCTATTAAGATGACTAGCGCGGAGGTCTCATTAACAATATTCTTAGCCTTTCAAGATATCAAGTTGGATACAAATGCTTGTATCTAGCTCCACCAACACACTACATCTATTTGACTATTGATTCGTTTAGCTGAGGCTTATGTGCAATCGCAGACTAAATTGATGTTAACGTTATTGTACAAAACTTCGGCTAGATAAAATTGGCTGGGAATTTTCCAACTAATTTATCACCAAGTAGTTTTGAGTTATCCGCTATTTCACTAAGAGTGAAGCCTGTTTGTCGAGATCCTTTAATCCATATAAATACTAAAGACACTTATTTACTTGAAAAAGCAAATGCAGAAGGATACTGACCTTTTTAATAATAACTAAACAAAGATAAGAGTTAAAACATAAAATAGGTGATAAATGACATCAAATAAAATCTAGATATAGCTAAAATGAAAGCAGTTGCATAGCTAAAACAATCTGGCATCTTCATTAAATGTGTTTAATTCATTCATCCCGATAGTTCACAGTTTCTTACAAGATCTTTAAATAACTATTCGAAAGTTTACTACGTTGGGTTTTCTATGTTCATCTTAAACAAAAGCTAATTACAATATAAAATGGATTTACTTTTTTACCAACACAAATATAGAAAGTAACATTTTTTATATTATACCAAAAGTAGAAACCGAAACAGTGAAGTTAATTTCCTAATAATTTGTCAAAGTAGAACCAGTCGAATATGTCGTATAAATTTAATCACTTTTTCTTGAAGCGTTACATTCTGATAAGCAAACCAGAGCTAGTTTGAATCCTGTACAAGAGTGAATACCAAAAGGAGCAAAAACATTGCTGGTATGACAAAAAGTATATGCTTGTGAAACAAACTACACAACAATATTCGTGAAATCGACATCCGAGTATTTTGAAAATAATAGTAATAATACAGTTTCCCTATAATAACATGTTCAAAACTTTTGTGAATTACACAACGTTATTACTGAATGAAAGTAGACTTCCTCCGTCCAGATAAATACATCATAGTATATCCAACTGAATGCAGGAAGTTTATCTACAAAAACGACTAGATGCTGACTTAGTGGTTTGAAGATTAGGCGTTTGCTGCTAAGTTTGAACGTCCTAAATTTAGTCTTAGATGCGCTTGAGGGTACCCACCGTTGAGAAATCCCATATGGAGACAAAACAGCTATCTGGTGCTCCCTGTTTTTCAATGACTGGTTGGCTAAGGTTATTTCGTTGTATAGTGCATATCCTACTAAGTAAAAGACGTGTGGCTGGATAGATAAGATACGAGCACTGAAACCACTAAGTCATAATAGGCAGGGAGGTAATCTAATGTTTCAAACTATCTTACATGAAACCACCAGTTTCCATAGTTTGACTCATAGAGATAATGGACAACGCGTTCCATCCAATAAATGGGGATGAAAATAGAAACATTGATCATGAGAGTTAATCCATTTCTTGAAATATGTACACTTTTACAGAGTTACAACCTAAGAACTGAGTGTAAGCGCGACAACTTAGAGTTCCTAATCAACTACTTATATACTAGTAATAGTTGTTGACGTTTAAAATGATTACTTTTTAACTGCTTTAATATCACACATTAGTACCAGCAGATTTCGATAAAAAGAGCTAGGTCAGAGACAATGTTACATCTGGTATTGTCATTTCCATAATGAGTTGAACTGTCTTATTTATCGATTTTGTGGGTATGAATACCTATCAGGAAGCAAAACTTCTATAACGTTTGGTTAAACATACCGATTTATGTGCAAGTAAATAGGAAGACGACAGACTTACGAATTCAAAGTTCCAGCTCCTAAATGAGCGAGTAAGTGATACATATGACCTAGATAAGCACCTTTACCCAGGTTTCGATGAAAAATCTCCTGAAGAAAACAGTATGAAATAAACATCAGATATATAGTGCGTAATAATTCAATAAATTGAAGTATTGATGAAAATAATGGGAAGATTAGTTTGCGCCACGAATATGCTTTTTGAACACAATTAGTACTTGATATCCAGTCTAAATGAATTGTGTCAACAGATGTAGTGTTTAGCGATGAGAAATACTCATCTTTTAAGATAAAAAAACATTACTTTCAAAAACTGCCTTGCAAAGAGATATATGGTATCGATTACCAGCTAGACAAAAACCGTTTGAGGAATTAACTACGACAAACTGCTAACAATTTAATATTAGTAGAGATGTTCCATCGACTATGTTATCGAATGTAGCTAAATCTTTGTTATTGTGTGCGTTTATAGTCAGAAGTATAGGTTTAGTAAGTGCTTTCAGAGTGAGTGTCGTTAGCGTAGTTAATTCGAAATACGTTATTTTTTGGATGTCACGCACCTAGTTATAGTAACTGTCAATGAATAACCTTGAAACTACACGCAATAAACTTTTTTTAGGTTTATTATGATAATGTGATCTCTTTTACTAAGTACATCCATGGTTGAAATTTGAGATTTTTTTAATTGGAAGAAAATTATGTGCTCACTTTAAGATGAACGGTAATTGTGGGAAGAAAACTTTAGACGTTAGTCTTCCACTTTTGTTCCTAAGAAAAACCAGAACCATAAACAAGGAAACTATCTATATGCTGGTTTAAGCATAAATGGTATGACAAATAAGTATATTAAATGAAGGTGACCCCTCACGTAAATCAAATGGGGAAATTTGAAAATGAGAAAGTAATGTGTGGTTTTTGTGTACATACGAGACTTTTCATTAACAAACACCGAAAATCAAACAATTTACTGAGTCCTACCCAACTGAAAAGACACTCAAGTGTAAGTTTTAATGACGAAGAATATTCATTGAAGATGTCTGATCCTAACATATTTATCTAATTACAGACTTACGTCATTTCTGGAGCCATTAACATTTAGGTTGAACCTAGTAGGTAGGTTCAGAATATCCTTTTGGTGTCCGAGTGGTTATTATGAACCAATGGTTGGAGACGTTAGGTGATATGGTTTAGAATCAGTTGTAGTAGCGCAGATGCATTCACTCCTAGTATTCTCTTAGATCCTGAGTCTTGAAAGTTTATATATTTTTTAAAATGTTTATGTCTTGTCGTTTCTACTACTACAACTGATGTTGAAACTACTTCTCTTAATAATCTCGCTGAGCTAATAAGGTGTAGCAACTTGAACTGACCACGTCTGTTTCTGGTCTTACATTTCTTACGACTGAATTGAACTGTCTAACCAGAAAAGTATTCAAATGCCTATTACGATTTGAGTACATATAGCAACAGGATAAAAAATAGATCGGTAAAAATGTGGTTCACTGAACTTGTACGACTGTGAATTTTGCCTCCAGCTATAAATTTATTTCACAGATTGAAATCATGAGTCAGTTGAAAACCTGGAAGCACTGGACGGCCGTTTCATCCTAGTATGGGACTCCTCAGCAGTGCGCATCCACGATCCCGCACCATGCGGGGCTCGAACCCAGGACCTACTGGCTTCGCGCGCGAGCACCTAACCACTAGACCACTGAGCCAGCATCCAACGGTGTTAATGTCTAACTACAAACAATCCACGAAGTTGCGCCACCGTACACCATTGTCTTCAGCGAGTTCCTATCTCACAACAGACCTGGTTGAACTCCACTGGTAAAGGCTTCTCACTAGAACTTCGGGAGTTTTTCCTGAAGTCAGTCACTAGTGAGCAGTTGATTATTATCAGAATGGGTTTTGTGGAGATTTTAGAAATTTCAACTGACTCATGATTTCAATTTGTGAAATTTCTAAAATCTCCACAAAACCCATTCTGATTATAAATTTATTATTAAAGTTAATAAAACTACTCGACCACAAACCAAAGTAGGTAGAGTAGAACGGGATTTTAAATATCATCATGTAGTAGAAAGTTAAATGTTTTGATTACTACTTAGCCATTATGCAACAATAAGTTTAATCCTTCAAAACGCTAGTAAAACAAATGTGTTAAAGGTACATAATGTGAAAAGTTGTACGTATTTTACCATCAGCTTTTTGTGATATGGAAAAAGCAATCAAGTGACACTGACACAAGGGACTTTGAGTAAAAGAAAGTCCGAGTATGAAATTTTATCTTTTGGATTAGCTGATATCTACATAAGTCAGTTCGGAATATTGCATTTTACTAGCCTTTTGAGTTAGAAACTAAATATATCATGTCTTAAGAATCGTCTCAGACATTTTATTTTATTCATCTATTAAATCTCCCTGTATGTAAAACAGGTTATAATTCCAATTTTGTCTCACCATTATAAACTGTAGATTGTTTTGACCAATACCGCGACAAATATGCTATGCATATGTACCTTGACCAGAAAGTTGCTAAATTACAGGTGTTGCTTTATCTTTCACCTTTGAACATCTACAATATTTTTATGAAAAGCTTTCTATTTTTCTATGTTCATAAATGTGTCATATTTAGAAATAGTGAACTCATCATCTATTAGACACATTTTTATAATACAATAACACGATCAATTTCAATAGTTTAATAATTAGTATTACCAAGGTTTTTAAGATAAAAACGGGTATTTTTTTTCAGATAACATGTAGGAAGACTAAGAAACACGTATGCCAAGAGCACGTGGCTTTACAATTTATATGAATTCATATTGTATAAATTCAATAGTTTTTACAAGTATTTAGAACATTGGTGCAGTCAACAGTAACGACATATCGTGTGCAGTACAATGGATATTAAGACTTAAAACATTCAGACCTTATTTTGTACATAAGTGTGTCCCATCTTTTGCAATAAGGATTTCTAGGTTTTACCTGTTTTAGTGACTTATATTATCCCAGATCTCCAAAAACAACAAAAGTAGCTATTAAGTGTTTATCGGACTCCAGATGTCTATGAAGTACTTTCACTTATTGTTTTCTCACCCTTAGAAGTAGATTTTTTCCGCTAGCCCCTGGTAAGTAATCCTTCCCTATTTGCTTAACCCTCTCGAGCCGCATGGTAAGTATTTTTGATTTTAATAATAGGTTTTAAGCAATACTTTAACATAAGAGGAAGGAACGCTATCCAAATACTCAAATGAAAGTAGATGAAACCGTGTTCAAATCGCCTGTTAAAAATTGAATGCCTAAAATATCAAGTGTAATAAGTCGAACTCGCGTATAATAATAATCGCTTACAGCCAAAACAAGCATTTATTTAATCCAAATAATATTTTGCAAAAACAATTTGGCTTCATTACCTTTTAACTATGCTTGAGTCCTTTAAATTAGATAAACAATATACACATAAATATTGCTTAAAATACTAAACTTTCATTTCAGTGAATACATAAAAATACAATTAACTTTAAGAACTAGCTATCCGTTTTACTAACTAAAAGAGCATTTATATGCAAAATGAACTCACAGATAGCAATAATTCTTTGAATCGCGTCTTCTTAATTATTGTTAATAAACCCCGTTGACCAGCTTTGTAGGCACGAATAAATGCACCAAGATATGGAGTGGAAATGTACCAACTGTTCTCGGATTTGATGGTTAAAGCTCCATTTTGTATTAGAATGCTTATCTCATTATCCGAAAAATTCTCCGATGCAACACTTTTACATAAGCTTAAATAATGATACTTTTGACTAGTGAATTCCGCAAATCGTTCTGAAAACTTAGTAATAATATAATTATAACTAAACCTAAAATATTTGACTCATCAATAGAAAAATCTCTGAAAGAATTTACAAAATCATCAGATTTCATTATACCAACGGAATCATCGATTTGGTCGTCAATGTTTAATAAACGTATTCTTTGAGATGTCTGCATATCTGACTAAAACAGTGAGCATTAGAAATGATTGAAACACGACAAACCAGTTGAGATTCTACTTTGTTCCGATTATTTACAAGAGTGTATAACTGTGACTTCAAAACGATTGGGCGGCCAAGATTTTTTGAGTTCATAGAAGGATATAGACTAAACAGATATTCAAGAGCATCACATACTGTTTCTAAAATAAGAATATTTACTAATAAAACAAGTTTACTAACTCATTTCAGGTATACTGGATACCTTCATAACTTTTTGGGGGCTGGTAACACCATCATCAGATAGCTTACGCTTCATCAGGAACTACAAGAACAGTTAATACAACAAACATTTGCAGAAATCATTTGATATTAGATGCCAAAACAAACAGCTTGAACTTGAGAGTTTTTGTTCGAAATCCGTGATAGTTTAAAACCAATTATGCTCAGTCCAAACATAATATAGTCAAAATACTAAGCCATGAATTCAGTTTGTGCACAGTTCCAAAGCAAAATCATGTAAACAAGTGTAGCAACGTTGAGCAAATCGAGAATCTTACTTATGTCAGGAGCCCCGTCAGTCCTGGTTGGTGTTTGACCAAAACTAAGTGCAGACCTAAGTTTATTTGCCCTTGCTAACTTGCATGTTCTACGGATTAGGCGCTATGTCCGTCTATCAACTAAAGAACCAGTGTATAACATAGTTCGTTCTGTTCTACTGCATGGCTGTGAAACATATCAATTACGAATAGAGGATAATAATAGGTTAGGTTATTTGATCACAGATGCCTTCGTGTATTTTAGGACCATCAAGTGAACAATATTGGAGTCCGGTAGGCTACTGGGAAAAGATGGTAGGCAGACTGATGAGATAGCGAATATTCATCAACTGAGGTGCCTGGGATAAGCACTACATAGTACAAACTACCGATTACCTAGATGTGCGATATTGCCTAGTGCAAGAGTTAGCTAGAAGAAAACCGATAAGAACCAAACCAAGAGATGATATCAGTTCATGAAGCCATCGATCCTCGAGCTGATAAATAAGAATTTGTGTAGACCGTCTGGTTTTGATCCGCGTGACAAGCGCAATCACTGCAGTGATCTTGAGTGCTGTTAGAGGTATGAGGGCATTTAACACTTCCTGGTATCCCACACCGCGGAAAAATTCTTCTGGAGGTACTTAAAAAGGACATTAGGCTAGGGGTGGTCTTAGTGATCTGAGAGTGTGGCCGCAGTGCCCAAGGGACAACTGCCTGAGGTCGGTCACACACGACCTCTTTGTGAGTAATAGTGTTAGCTCCGTACTTATTGGAACCTTACTGTCGGAGACAGATATATGTGGGTAAGCCCGTTATCGTCTGCCCAACTTTGAAGTCGAGTCAGATCCTCCTGAAGTGCCTGTGTATCGTCTTGGTTGCGTATCTCTCTCCAAAGTTTCACGTCGTCGGCAAAAAGTAATAAGTCTGACGTTACCTGTTGAGGAAGATCGTTTATGTGGATCAAGAAGAGAAGAGGCTCTAATACTGAGCCCTGGGGAACCCCACTGGGACATTCCATAGCCTGAGATAAAGTGAAATTAACCCTAACCTTAAAGTGTCGATTTTCTAGGTATGAAGTAAGCCAATCGATTAGAGGTGGTTTGATACCTAGTCGTTTGAGCTTATTGATAAGACACAAGTGGTTAACTTCATCAAAAGCTTTTGAGAAATCAAGGTAAATGATATCAACCTTTCCCTTGCGACCGAGGATGCTTGTCCATCTGTCCACCGCAGTCAGCAGGTTGGTTATACAAGAGTAACCCTTCCTGAAACCATGCTGTTAGGGTGAGAAGAAATTTAAGGACAGTAGATAGTCGTTTAAACCGTCACATATCAGGGACTCCATGAGTTTTGAAGGTAATGACAGAAGAGCCACCGGCCGATAACTTGAAGGTCCATTGCATCAACCACCTTTGAAAATTGGTGTGATGTGAGCCAACTTCCAATTTTCCGGTAATTTGCCTCGGCTTAGCGAGTGTGAAAACATCACGCTAAGCGGCGTTGCCAAGATTGAGGCTGCCTCCCTTAGTATGGCAGAATGAACCATATCCGGGCCAGGAGAAGTATCTAGTCTTAAGTGCTGCAGTTTCCGGAACACCAAGTCAGCGCTTAGGTCCACTTCGGAAAGTCCTGTGGAATTGCAGATGAAACTGTCGTCAATAAAGTTGATGTCAGCCGGTTGAAATGTTTGAGAGTAATGTGCCGCCAGAAGGTTAGCGGCGTCACCATCGTTGTTGGTCGGGCCGTTAAGACCTAGCAGTTGAGAAACTCCTGTTTTGGCTTGACGAAGAGAGGCTGCATAACGGAATAGGCTTCCAGGGTTAGAGGCAAATTTCTCCATAAGCTTCGTCTGGTACTGAAGCCTGTCTTCTCTTATAGCCTTCGTGCATATGTTCCTGATATGTTTATATTGCCTATACGCTCCGTCGTTATTAGTTCGTTTGTATTCCGCCCAACAGTGCCTTTTGCGGCTTAGCAGGCGAAGGGTACGGTTCTTGATTACTGTAGGTGGCTTGCAGCTTTTGGGAACCGTTTGAGGAACTGAATGATTTGTAGCACATAAGAGCGTGTGCAGTAAGAAGTCCCAATGACCGTTCACATCGAGTTGAGGGTGAACATCCCAAACCACCTGTTGTAGATAGTCATGTAGAGCTGGCACATTCAGCCGTTTAAAATTCCAACGCAAATTATTGTTGGGATACCTTAGCTTAGTTTTGATGAGAAAAATGAAGGCTATGACGGCATAGTCGCTCTTTCCCAGAGGAGCCAAGATTGAGAGGTTGTCAACTAGGAATTCTTCGTTTGTGAATACACAGTCTAAGCGCGATGGTGTCTGACTGTTTCTCCAACGAGTTGCCGACCTCACATTTTCATATAAGCCCAAGTCATCGATGAGGTTGAAGAACCGAGCTTCAATTGAGTTGTCGCCTCCAGTGTACGTGTGTTCCGCGAAGTTGACTCTAGGGAGATTAAAGTCCCCTAGAATCAGGATGTGTGTGAAACCGAGACGAGTAGAGCGGGATAGTCCTTCCAGCATACGACTATCGTACTCGATGTCGGCAGTTGGCTTCCTGTAAATGACTCCGACTAGACACCTCGAAGTACTAGACAATCTTACAGAGCACCATATGGATTCCTCAAGATTGTTAAACTCGAGGTTGTGAACTTGGTGCACCTCCAAGCAAGAGCTTATGAATATGGCTACTCCACCTCCAATTCCTGTTTTTCTGTCGTTGCGGAACAAAGTCATCCCAGGTAATGCCAACTCTTGGTCCGAGAACTGAGAAGATATCCAGGTTTCAGATATTCCTATCAGGTGGGCTTTATTAGCGTTGCTAAGTTCACGTAATTCATCCAGTTTGTTTGGTAGACTTGAGGCGTTCATATATAAGCAGTTTATGCTTTCAATTTGGAACGCGTGAGCTTCGTCCTGTTTTTCTGTATGAGCCTTATGTAAATGGACAGGTAGCCCACCTATGTGAGGTTTGCCGAGGTGGTAGGCCCTATCTTTTAGTCGTTTTTTTTATCATTTAGACAGTCCACAAGTGGAATGGTCAGCTCTAACTTGCCTTTGTGCTTGGTCCTTGCTTCATATAGCTCATCCGGGTGCATGTGGATTCCAGGTGGAAATCGACGTCTGTTGGCACGAAATGTTTCCAGAACTGCAGCCGTCATGTGGGAAGATGGGAAGCTTATCTTCATTGGACGGGGTTTAAGATCACCGTCCTTCTTGACTAGTCTCGTCACATGCTAAGTCAGTATGTGTTTGAGCCTCAAGGACTGTTTGATGAATTTCCATTTCCTGATGTCAGAATTTGATTGAGTAGGGTCTGCATTTTCCGGTATACCTTGCACAATTATGTTTCTTCCGCGAAAAAACTTCTCGCGAGATTCTTTAGGGATGTTTCGTATGATATTGCGCTCAGAGTACGGTATGTCGGGCAATATTCTTACGTTACCATCTGATTTCAGCAAGTGATTTGCTAGCAAGACATCCTCTACGTCAGTAGTATTCTTAAGTGTTACTCGGAGAAGCGTCGGGTGATTTAGACGCTTAGAATCCTTTCATCGAGTGAGCCGGGTGACCGTCAAAGGCTCTATTCTAGGAAGTTCGAGCTTCTTGTTCAATTCACCCCAGAGCATCCTGTCGTTTTTGTCCTGCAGACTGAGAAGAAGGTCAGGATTGTCAACGAGGTTCATGATAATGAGAGAATCGTCACGAACTGTTATTAATTTACCAGGTTTCACGATGGGTATACCGTAAAATGCAGACCCTACTCAATCAAATTCTGACATCAGGAAATGGTAAATTTGATTGAGTGAATTGAACAAGAAGCTCGAACTTCCTAGAATAGAGCCTTTGACGGTCACCCGGCTCACTCGATGAAAGGATTCTAAGCGTCTAAATCACCCGACGCTTCTCCGAGTAACACTTAAGAATACTACTGACGTAGAGGATGTCTTGCTAGCAAATCACTTGCTGAAATCAGATGGTAACGTAAGAATATTGCCCGACATACCGTACTCTGAGCGCAATATCATACGAAACATCCCTAAAGAATCTCGCGAGAAGTTTTTTCGCGGAAGAAACATAATTGTGCAAGGTATACCGGAAAATGCAGACCCTACTCAATCAAATTCTGACATCAGGAAATGGAAATTCATCAAACAGTCCTTGAGGCTCAAACACATACTGACTTAGCATGTGACGAGACTAGTCAAGAAGGACGGTGATCTTAAACCCCGTCCAATGAAGATAAGCTTCCCATCTTCCCACATGACGGCTGCAGTTCTGGAAACATTTCGTGCCAACAGACGTCGATTTCCACCTGGAATCCACATGCACCCGGATGAGCTATATGAAGCAAGGACCAAGCACAAAGGCAAGTTAGAGCTGACCATTCCACTTGTGGACTGTCTAAATGATAAAAAAAACGACTAAAAGATAGGGCCTACCACCTCGGCAAACCTCACATAGGTGGGCTACCTGTCCATTTACATAAGGCTCATACAGAAAAACAGGACGAAGCTCACGCGTTCCAAATTGAAAGCATAAACTGCTTATATATGAACGCCTCAAGTCTACCAAACAAACTGGATGAATTACGTGAACTTAGCAACGCTAATAAAGCCCACCTGATAGGAATATCTGAAACCTGGATATCTTCTCAGTTCTCGGACCAAGAGTTGGCATTACCTGGGATGACTTTGTTCCGCAACGACAGAAAAACAGGAATTGGAGGTGGAGTAGCCATATTCATAAGCTCTTGCTTGGAGGTGCACC